CTTTCCCAAAAATGTGGATTTCTCATTTTAGTGGAGAAACCCGTGGATTTTGCAGGTTTGCAAAGAGCTGTGTGCAGGCAGGCAGAGATCCAGCCTGCAAGGGGCTGGGGGGAGCGGGAGGAGGGTGGTCAAGCAGGAGGTGCCACATGCATGCATGTGCACGCAGCCGCCAGGCAGCCTGGAGAACAGCTCTCGCAGGTAAGTTGGGGTGGGGATTGAGGTTCTCATAGAGAGGGAAGGAGGGAGGGAGTTGAGCAGGGCTGGGGCTGCTGCCCAGCCAGGCAGTGCATGGGGCTTGGGGCTGCAATGGGCAGCTGCAGAGAGCCCCGGCGGGGACCGGCTCATCCAGAGGGCAGTGGGGAAGGGCCGGGTCCCCACTGCTGCGTGCACTCCCAGGGAGGCAGAGAAGACCCATGCCCCCCAGACAGATCTGTGTGTGGGGCAGGGGCAGGCTGCCCACTCCCCGCCCTGCTGCCCTCCCCCGGGGGCTTTGCAGCCCAGTGGGTGCGACCCGGTGCTGCAGGGAACAGCGGGGCCACACAGGGATCTCCTTGCCCTTGCAAGCTCTGTGCTGCCCTGGCCCACGCGGCAAAAGCAAGGGGCACAACCCCATGCCGCCATCCCCGGTGCTGCCACGCATGCAGGGGACGTTTCACGAAGGCAGCGCGGAGCTCACAGCGGCAAGGAGATCCCCACGTGGCCCCACCGTGCCCTGCAGTGCCAGGTTGCACCCTCTGGGCTGCAGAGCCCCCGAGGGAGGGCAGCAGGGCCAGGGGGCTGTTGGGGTAGTGAGGGACCTTTCATTTGAATCATGGATTTGGGAGGTTTTACCAGAGAAATTGCAATTTTTTTATCAGAGAATTTGCATTTTTTAAAATTTATTATTGGGGAAAACCAGGATCCCTTCCCATCATCTGGAAGGGGCCATTTTTGAATGAGGAGAGCTCTTTGGGTCTACCCGAGTTGAAGGGAGGGTGGATTTGCACCGTATCTATTAACCAAGTGGGCGGGCAGGCGTGTGTTTGCATGTACTCTCACACACACACATGCGCACACACGTACACATATATGTGGGTGCATAGCACAAGCTCTTGTGACCAGAGGCTCACCTCATGGGGTCCTGTGAAAGGATGTACAGAAAGCGGAGCATAAGGAGAGAGAAAGGCCTGAGCTTTCCATACAGCAGCGTTTGTTGCTTGCCGATCTTGCTGAAGCCAGTTCCCTCCCTTTGTGCAAGCTCCAAAAGCATTTTTTATTTTTCCGTCTTGCACAGCCGCGCAGGTTGTGTCTCAGGAGCTGGCTCTCCGTGATACAGAGTGAAACCAGTTTCACCCTTTGGTATTCGCATCGCTGTGGTACCCCAGTACACTAGAGCCTCCTTTTTGTGCTAACAAGTTATCCCCGTTCCTGCAGATGCCTCGCGGCCTGTGGCTAGCGGCTTCCCCCAGCACAGCCCTTGCTGTAAATTAACCCATTCAAGCTCTGATGTTGCATTGTGCATTTTGAGAAAACGCTGCCGAATCCTGCATGTTTGTTCTCTGGACCACAGGTGTAGGGGTTTTTTTATTGATCCAGTGACGATCCTTGTGGGTTTGTTCAGCTCACTGGGAAACACTTACATGCCTTGCCTATTCTGAACGCCCTGGCTTTGGAAGTTTTTCCATTAGCAACCTCAATCGGGGAAATCTGAGCGGGATGCTGCCTCCTCTGCGAAGTCGGAGCCATCCCAGTAAAACGTGAACCCACTTAAAACTCACCCGGTTCAGGTGAGACTGGGTAATTGGAAATGTTTCAGGTTTCCGACCCTGCTGTTCACATCACAGTCTTTCCCAATTCACTGCTTGGTTGGCTTTGTAATAGGAAAGGGGGCGGCGGGGGGGGGACTCTGCTTCCTATGAGTTTTGCTTTGAGACGTCTGGGTTCACCCAAAGTGAACGTGGTCACGGAAGGGGGACGCTACACAGAGCAACACCAGGGAGTACGTTAGGACACTTCCCTACAGACAGTGAACCCGCCGTGCTGCTTGCAGTCTGCAAATGATTTTATCCGCTCGCACGCAAGCAGACGTAGGTGGTACCGGGTACCCGACTGCTCTGACGTGTGCACCGCTCTGTTCGGAAAGGAGACCCCGTTACCAAATTGCACTCTGTTGGGTTTTTTTCACCAGTATGGTACCTCACCCAGAAGGGTCCTGATCATTCATTGAGGCATGTGGGCACTACCAAAATACAGATGAATAGTCACGATTTTATTTCTGAACTCGAAACAAGCCAGTGCCGCACGATTTGGATCAAGGGCGAGATTTCAAATTCAGATTAGGTTCCAGGTTTAGATGGTTTGTCGCCGTTGAGCTGGGAGGCCAGCTGGGAAGTTTGGAGCTGAAGTCAGATTGTATCTCCTCCTATCTCCCTGCCCGTGCATACGCATACCGGCAGAGAGGTGTTCAGATCCATTCTGCTTAAAGACCTCTCTGAACCAATGTTCGGCTATTAAAGGAATAAATCATCCCAGCCAGGGGCTTTGTTGAGGCAGGCCTTAAAAACCCTCCAAGGATGGAGACTCCATCACCTCTCTGGGTAACCTGCTCCAGCGCTTTACTACCCTCCTAGTAAGAGAGATGATGTGCTGGAAGCGGTTAGTACTCCAAAGAGCCAGGCATGAGTCTGGCTGCACGTGGGGGTCTCTTCCCTCTCCCCACAGCAGAGCTCGGACCACGAGCCCGTTGGTCCAGCTCTTGTTTCTCAGCACCAGTCGCTCTGGCCAGTTGAGTTACCCTGTCACCTGGATTTGATAAGAGCAGGAAGGAAAACGGGCATCTCACGCAATAATGGGACGGCAGCGGGGGTTTTACTGTAAACTATGGAGAAGTCTGCGAGCAGGAGATGTTACGCCGTCACTTGACCCACCGATCCGTGTTAAAGGAGGGTCCTGTAA